CTAAGCTGTGCCGTGAGAGCGTGACAAGTATCACAAAGGACAGATAAATATGCTTCCATTTTTGGAATGTTACACTTATTCTTGGGAAGGGTCTAGACTGGAGGCTTTTTTTGTCATTGGATTGGCTCCTAATACATATAGAACAACAACTCAAAAATTATCTATGATTTATATATGTTAAATATTATGTAATCTTCGATTAAATCAGGTCCATAGTCCGATGAGATGAGTAGGGGTTTAGACAAGATCTCAAATTCTCAGGCTTCATCAACCACTACTGTCTGTAATTAACAATAAGTTGATCTTACAGGGCTTCTCTTTGGCTTGGCTATTTGGTAGGTGCCTCATGCACGCGACTCTTGAAGCACGTGATGATAACTATGCTTTGTTTGGTGAATGATTTTAGCGTACGCCACCTACTATGACTCCAGCCACTTGTCATGCAACAAGGATGAGCTCAAAGCGCACACTTTCTCTTCATTCTCCTATTTATATAGTTTGTGTTGAACCACATTCTTATGTCTTCGTCCTTTGCATGAGATTAGGGGACTGGCCGGGAAGGAGATCGAGAGAGATAGCTAGATCGAGTTGGGTTTCATTGGAGGGGACTCTAGCTAGCTAATTATTCAATTTTGAGAGAGAAAAGTATCTAAGGTTTTAACTCTTTAATCTGAGAGATGGCGATTTTTGACCATCACCACCCATGGGTGCTTACATTTGGTGTCTTAGGTAAATTCACTTACTTTTCTTTACTTGTGTTTTCTGCTAATCATGAAGCAGGTCCAAAATGCACAATCATCAGCTCCGGTGACTGCTCACCAGGATTACTTTTCCAGCCAACCTAGATCAGTTGCCACATTTTGTGTTTGTTGTTGATTTGAAGATAAATTTGCGTATACATAAAAAAGCAATTACTTGCATGTCAAACTTCTGTGGCTTCTTCTATTATGGTGTAAATAAAAAATGCTGTTCTGTTTTGCATGATCAACCTTCCTTTCTGTTTGATAATAATATAATATATTTTACAATACATTAGTTGAAGAGAATGGGATCAATGATAAACTAACTTAAGTTATTGCCAATTTGTAAAATTTGGTTCAACTATATGTAAACTTGCATTTTTATGGTTTGTTTACACTTGGAACGTATTAGAATGGCCAGTTAATTATCTATTAAACCTTCTTGTTTTGAAAATCACTTATCGAGATCTTCTTTTTAATCTATTTCAGGTAACATTGTTTCAATCTTTGTATACCTTTCTCCATTGTAAGTAGCTTATTTTATTGGCTTTCTTCTTAATTGAAAGCTCTGTTTGCTTCTACTTTATTACTGTCATGTTTCATTGAGTTACTTGAGGCTGTCCACTTTCATTTGCAGGCCAACATATATCCGGATTTATAAAAGGAAATCAACTTTGGGATTTCAATCTCTTCCTTATGTGGTAGCTCTATTTTCTGCCATGCTTTGGTTGTACTATGCATTCCTTAAAAAAGATGCACTCCTCCTAATATCCATCAACTTGTTCGGATGTGTCATTGAGACAATTTACATCGGCGTTTACCTCTTTTATGCATCCAAAGAGGCTAAGGTACTTAATTAATTAATGGTTATCTTTTAGAATTCATATAGAAATATTGAAGCATCTCAGTCTGTACCTTTTTTATGTTCTAACTATGGAAATGTGGGATTACGTACAGAACCATACGACAAAGCTACTTGCTTCTTTGAACGTGGGGTTGTTCTCTGCGATTTTTCTCTTCACGCTCTTTTTGGCAAAAGACTCAAATCGGGTCGTAATTGTTGGATGGATTTGTGTTGCTGTTTCTGTGAGTGTTTTTGCAGCACCTCTAAGCATTGTGGTGAGGATATGCTCATTGCTAGCTAAAATTTTACACACTCGCCGCCATATATGTATCTTCTTTCTAACTTGTTTGTTTCCCATTTCTATTCTGCTTCACAGTTTCAGGTTGTCCGAACTCGGAGCGTTGAGTTCATGCCATTTACCCTTTCTTTCTTCCTCACATTGAGTGCAGTTATGTGGTTTGCATACGGTTTACTGCTGAAGGATTTATGCGTAGCTGTAAGTTTCCCTGCTGTGATAATCTGCGCATGTATATATAATTATATATATATATAAATATCGCTGGCAACCATTGATTAATCTTTGAACCTTTCTGGGTATTTGAATTTTGTAGCTCCCAAACATTCTGGGTTTCTTCTTAGGGCTGCTTCAGATGTTGTTATATGGGATTTACAGAAATGCCAAGAAAGTGGTGGAGGAGAAAAAACAGCCGGAACACATAATAAACATAGCGGTGGTAGGGGACTGTGAAATACATCAATTTGAGCCAAAAACAAGTGGCAGTGGCAGTGGCAATGTTGTGGCTGAAGAGGAAAAGAAGGATGAACAAACAGATGGCCATCATAAAACTGTAGCTTCGGAAGACGACGAACCGGGCGGAATGAATGTACAGACTGTTTCACCTGTGCTTGTCATGTGTGCAGCTTGATTTTCCATTCGCCATCCATACATCTTCATTCACTTCATTTACACACACACACACACACATACTCTCTCTCTCTCTCTTTCTTTCTCTCCCTCGGCCTCGGGTTGTATTGCAACTGTATGAAGTATTGCAAATGTGTGAAACAAAAAATCTACATTTGAATACTTTTTACTCTTACTTTGTACCTGCAAGTCACCTGCCAATGTACTGGTACTTTACAAAACCGCAAGCTATTCATGTCCATCCACCAAATAAAAGTAAAATAGAATAAAGCTATACTGCCATAAGGGAGCTTTAACGGTTTAGCCCAAGGTGGAGTCAGAAATTATTCATCAACCTAGAACTATTTTAAGGGTAATGGTACCTCAATTTAAAAAATAGATTTAATAATTATAATTATTTAATAAATAATGAGTCTCAATAAATATTGAGACTTATAATAAAATCAAGAAAAATATTATTTGAACCTTATTTGAGGATCTTATTTAAAAACCTAATAATGTGTAACCATTAATTGCAAAGTCCCTATAGCATTACTCTAAAATTAATAGATATAATTATCAAGTCTACTTTTTAAGTTCATGTAACATTACTCTTATTTTAATATCAATATAAAAAATGATAGTTGAACTTAAAAAGTTGACTTAAAATATGTACTTGATAATCACAATTATTGAATAGATAAAAGATCTTAATAAATAGTGGGATCCACAATAAAATCAATGGTTGTGACTATCAACTACATATTTTAAGTCCATATAGCATTGCTCTTTTAATACTTTTTTATTTCAAAAAATTTATGCATAATTAATTCAAAATTAATATGTTTTGTTTGACTCAAACTCCATATTTTTTTTTTCTTTTTGAAAACAAATTTAATAATTTATCATTGAGTTTTTGACAAAATAACTTATTAGAACTAGAAGTATTCATTTAATAGACATAATTTAGAAAAAAAAAATGTATTTGGCACAATTTTATTAAACCTTAGATACAAGAATATTTTGACTGATCACAGATAAATTGTTAAAGTCTAATTGTTTGAATAATTTAATTAAAAATATAAATTATAATAGACAGATTACAATATATAGTACAATTAAATTAAAAAAAATATTTGAATCTTAATTTATTATTCCTGCATTCTAATTTCAATTTCTAATATTATGATTTCTAAGTTCAAACCCTAATTTATTATTATTTCAAATATCAAGCCCAATTTCAATTTAAATTAACAAAAAAAAAAAAAAAAGGGAGAAGATAACAAGAAAATAGAAAAATAGAGCACTGACCACAAAAGTCAAGTTAAGGAGAATGATTGTTTCAAAATCACTAAAACTCATTGTAACAATAACCGACCAAGTATAGTCTTATTAGTTATCCTTCATTTTATCAATTACAAGGTGAATGAGTCAACCCTTGATAAAGGTCAAGATTGATTTCTTTTAAGATGTTTGCTCATTTATTATTGATACGTTATTCAAAAGATGTAATCGTTAATTATTTATGTTATAATAGTGATTTATTGATATTTATAAATAAATAAGAGTAATACCACACAACCCAAATAAAATTCAAAATATTACAACCCAAATGAAATATTATCATTTAGATGTGTGAGCCTTATCAATTTTTTCAATAGGACTCACTCATGCAATACTCATGCAATGGAAGATATGAATTTGGATTGCATTTTTTGGATTTTATTTGAGTTATATAGCATTTTTCATTAAAAAAACCTTATTGTAACAATTTTAATTTAAGTCGTACGAAAAAAGTGTAAGTCTAATTTTTTTTTTAACAAAAGAATACAATTTATCTAAAATATAAGTTCGCAATAATATTATATGTATTTAATTTAGAAATTTAATTTGAAAATCTAATCTATTGTAGTCATTGGATTAAACACGTACTAGATCTCGCTAAATATTGGTATCTACTAATAATCAAATGATAACAATACAAACTTATTTTTTTATATAAAATTTTTAATGAGGGCAAATTTCAATTTTTTTAAAAAAAAATTCTAAAATTTCAAATAACATCCAAACTTTTCAAAATTTTTGTGGAGACAGCTGCCCCCACTGCTCCCATGTTGAATCCACCCTTGATTTGCCTACCCCCATTTGACTGTACGAGCAAATATTTAATACAAAGGTGTGCAAAGTCATTATCGACACGTGTTATAATCATCTAATTATGACTCGCTAAGCAAAAGTGTATACCATGTTCAAATTCATTAAAGTTAACCGATTATGCTAAGAGTTCATGGTAATTTGATTTAAAGGGAATTCTACAGTCTATGAGATAATATGGTAATGGATGCTGACGACATATATCGACAATTTTATATTAATGCCATATTCAATATTTACTCGACTGCCTGAGTATAGTAGATCTCATATTCCAATACACTGAAGTTAACTGATTATGCTAGAGTTGGCAGTAATTTGATTAAAGACTCCTCTTGCTCAAAAAGCAGACCAAACGCGTTCAGGTTATTGGCTCGTCCGACCCGGCAGCATTCATGAGTTGCTCATTCAACCGTTCGTAGGAAGTACCATGCATGATTGCCCCCGTCCTTTCTTTCTCTCGGTCCCACCCAGCAAGATAGCTATAGTGGCCAAACCCAGAAAGGTAGCAAATACAAGAGCAAAGAGAAACGTAATCAACTTGGATTAGAAACTGGGGTTAGAGGCTAGAGGTGTTCTCTTGTATAGATAATGGGTATTCACAGGTCCTCTTGCAAGAGGGAGCTCTGGGATGTAACATATTTGATACAGAATCACTCTAGTTTGAATATCAAGAGTAACATACTTTAGAAGGAGTTATCAACAGACAGGGTGGCCCGGGCATATAAAATGTTTTAATGAAACACAACAATTAGTTGATGATAGCATGTCACAGAAAATACTACAGACAAACAATGTTTATTGTAGCAATACCTACTAGATCCAGCAGAAGGATATCATCAGACGTGTTTACTCTCAAAACTTTTAAATATGTCCCGTTCTTCTGCTAGAATTTTGATACGCAATACATATACACTCTCCTTGAGCTCTTTTACTCCTTTGTTTCAGGAAAACAGTAAAAGTTAAGCTCCAATAGTCTCTCTTGCAGCAGAAAAATTGAACTTGTGGTATGAATAAAGCACCTAGAAGCCTCGGCTTCCCAGGTTTCTTCACTTCATCTCTTGTGCAAGCAGAGAATGAGCCAAGGTGGAAGATGAAGCCTTGCAATGTACATTTGGACGCTACCCATTATTGCCATCAAAACTACCTTGAGCACTTCGCAGTCTTTTTTCACGCCAGTTCTCTCCCCACATCTTGGCCTCTGCAACAGCTCGTTCTCTGTCTAAATCCCTGTTTAACATCCTTACAGTTTCTCTAGGAGAGTCGTCCTTCTCAGATCCTTCCAATTCCCACTTGCATCCTGATCCTCCTCCGTCTTCATTCCTTGATATTTTTCCACCTCTCTCATCTCTGTTTCTTTTCTCATCCTTATCTCCTAATAATCTGTATCCATGTCCAGGAGCTGTACTAGGGTCGAATGCCTGATTTGCCAGATAAGATAGGGCAGTGACCACATCCCCAATAAGAGGACGAGCAGCAGCCTGTTCTTGGATACACATGGATGCCACAGCTAGAGCCTGGTAGAGAGCCCGCATAGGATACTGACCCTGCAACCTTGGATCTGCCAATTTTGCTAATTTCCTTCGGTCATTAAACAATGGGCGTGCCTGTAGTAATGTAGACATAATTAGTTAATTTCGCAAGAGCTAATAGTGGGTACACTAGGCAGATAAAATATGGCCTTCCATAAAACATGATAAATCCAGGCAAGCACATTAAAAGAGAGTTAAGTCTAATACCCAGGCAACAAGATTCTGTTGTCCATGGGGCTGGGTGCTGTCAATGGCTTTACGTCCTGTTATGAGCTCTAAGAAGACTACCCCGAAACTGTAGACATCAGACTTCACCGTTAATTGCCCTGTCATGGCATACTCAGGAGCACAATAACCGTAAGTGCCCATGACCCTTGTGGAAACATGCGACTGGTCTCCAGTAGGGCCAAGCTTTGCAAGTCCGAAATCAGACAGCTTTGGGAAATATCCTTCATCTAGTAATATGTTTGATGACTTGAAGTCCCTATAAATTACTGGAGGGTTTGCCTTATCATGGAGATGCTCCAACCCTTTGGCAGCGCCAGCAGCTATCTTCATTCTAGTGTTCCAATCTAATGGTTCTTTATCAGGTGGAAGATCTACATGCATATAACCAAGTATTAGTCTCGTCTTACCAACATTAAGAGCAGCCTATCAATATAAATGATTGCAAACATTTCTTAGAAATTAGTGAATGCAAATGCCAAAAAAACTGTATATTTTTCCTTGATGAGTAAAATGGACCACATTCGTACTAGGCAATTCAACAAACTTTACACATAGTACAGCAGGCATATACATATGACAAACTTTTCTTTTCCCCTCTTTCTTTTTGTTTAGGCTTCCAATATTAATTTTGTAAATATAGCAACCAAATATAAAGGAAAGGGCTTTTTTTCCTTACTGTTCTTTTGGTCTGTGGTCAACTCGCATAGTTCACTTCTGTTTGGCAACATGGCATTGGCAAGGCAAATTTGATGAGAACACGAGCAGTCTGATATTTAAATCGGTCAGGGCAACCTCGATAACAGAACTAGGAATCTCCTATACCGACATATCTCTATGATTCATCCACACAATAAATTATACACCTTCACAGCCCAGTGATGCAATCCATAAGAAGCTCAAGGAAACGCAAATTCGAATATGTGAAAGATAATGAAATTGGTTTTCCATCAAGACAGAGATCCATATAGAACCTTGCATTCTTATTTTAAGTCAATTTGCTAGTATTAATACTTTATATGTCCTTTTAATATTTTTTAGTGTTAGGGATATTTTTGTAATTTCTAGAATTTTTAGAACTGGTCATATTTTTTGGTCAAATTCTAGTATTGAATATTCTAGAATTTAAAGTCCTAATTCTAGTTAGTTTTAGTTTTCTAATTTGTAGGGACCTAATGTTTTTGGAATCCTAATCTTTTGCGATTAGAAATACTTAGAACTCTATATATAGTTAGTGTTACTTTTAATAAAATATAGATAGGGAGAGATATTCAAAAATTTCGACAATTACATACTTTTTGAGTTGTGTGATGCCATTCTAACCCTAGGCGTGATGCCTAAAGAACCCTAAGAGTGATTCCTAGTCAAAGTTATTGTTCATGACCTCATTATTGTTCACAGCCCAATTACTGTTCATGGATACTGTTCACATCCCCTATTTTTATTTTGCAAAGTTGTCCTACATCAGTTTGTTATAAGAGCTGAAAAATCCTATGTTATGCGGATTAAATATTGACATGAGAATGGAGATATAAGATTTTGATGGAAGGAATAATAATACAATATTCTCTTGTTGGCTTACTTCTATTGAGGAATACTTTACCAAGTATAATTTTTCGGATGAGTAAAGAATAAGGTTTGCCAAGATGAAACTTATAGGCATAACAAAAATTTGGTACTTTGGTGTTGACAGAAATATAAAAAGATTGGAATTGTCGTCAATCAACACATGACATGAGATGAAAGCTAAGCTTCAACAGAAGTATATGCCCTCAAACTATCTTAGAAAGTTGTGCAAACAACTTATTAATCTGCAACAAGATAACTTATCTGTCACAGAGTATATTCAAAGATTTGAAAACCTAATGTTAAAAATCATATCATAGAAAAACCTTGACAAACAATTGCTCGATTCAAGACTGGTTTAAGAGCAAATATAAATGCAGAAATACTTGGGCAGCCACTATACAACATAGAGCATGCATTCCAAGTAACATTTGGTGCGGAGATGTACCTAAATTTCCTTCACCAAGTAAGTACATCAAGGATTTCTTCTTCCCAAAGGGTTAAAACTCAAAAGTTATTTAAGTTCTACGCTACAACTAGAGAAGATTCATCAAAAGCAACCCAAAACAACAAAAGATCCAATAATTCAACCTGAAGAAAATCAAGTAGAACAATCAACACAATCCCAAGCCACTAGCTATTTATTTGTTTAGAGGCTAAGGTAAAAAGTAAATATACAAACAATTTTTTTTGTTGTGGAGACCGACAAAATGAAAAATCCAACAACTAGTTTTGAATCAAATGTGCCTTTAGAGATGCGAAACGCAAATTCAAATATTCGAAAGATAATGGAATTGAGTTTCCATCAAGACAATGATCCATATAGAATCTTGCATTCTTATTTTAAGTCAATTTGCTAGAATTAGTATTTTATATGTCCTTTTAATATTTTTTAGTGTCAGGAGTATTTTTTTAATTTTCAGAATTTCTAGAATAGGTCATATTTTTTGGTCAAATTCTAATGTTGAATATTCTAGAATTTAAAGTCCTAATTTTAGTTTTCTAATTTGTAGAGACATAGTGTTTTTAGAGTCCTAGAGACATTGGAATCCTAATCTTTTAGGATTAGGAATACTTAGAACTCTATATATAGTTAGTGCTACTTTTAATAAAATATCTCTAGAGAGAGAGATTTAAAAATTCCCTTCAGTTGTGTGATGCCTAAGGAACCCTAAGAGTGATTCCTAGTCAAAGTTACTGTTCACATGCACTGTTCACAGCCCCTATTTAAATTTTACAAAGTTGTCCTACATCACCCAGTCCTTGCAAGCATGACTTAAACATAGACATACTAGAACAAGTCTCTATGAATATATGGAAGATACACACTAGGTCACACGCGTAATTCCGAAAAGGTGACACAGCTGACAAAGAAGGAAAAAATAACCAGAGTAAACTGCTCGATTCACTCAACAGATATAGCAAATCTACCTGGTATAAGAAACCATAGTCAGTGTGAAACCAAAAGAATGTAGACCCTAGAAGTGGTCAGTTGACATTGAACAGCAATTAGTAGATGGCCCAACTCTCAATCTGACCGTAGTTATAGTTATTTGGAGTGTGTTTGACAAAAATTCCTCTGTTCAGCAGTCATCACCAATTGCAAATTGCATAAAACAGTTCATCATCATGTGCAAAACAGAGCAAGAGAAAATATAAAGGAAATGATGACATCTGCATCAAATGGTGAAGCGATTATTAAGTTCCAGTATGAAGGAAAGCAAAACCTAACAGGACAATTGGCTCACAAATTTATAAGCAAAAAAAAGAGTGTGCATGCGCGTGTGTGTGATTGAGACAGAGAGAGATATCAAGGTGCAGAGAGCAAGGCAGAAGTTTTAATCAACACTTTCCGATCATTTCTAGTGTTGTGTTTCAGCAATTTAAGTCAATAACATACTTCCATTTCGGATAGAAAGATATGGCTTTACTTTTTTTTTTTTGGGAGGGGGGGGGGGGTGTGGAATGAAGA